ATGTATAACATACCTTGTTATATCATCAAGGTTGTAAGTGATCAACATGTATAACATACCTTGTTATATCATCAAGGTTGTAAGTGATCAACAAGTATAACATACCTTGTTATATCATCAAGGTTGTAAGTGATCAACTGTATGACATATCTTGTTATATCGCCAAGGTTGTAAGTGATCAACTGTATAACATACCTTGTTATATCATCAAGGTTGTAAGTGATCAACATGTATAACATACCTTGTTATATCATCAAGGTTGTAAGTGATCAACAAGTATAACATACCTTGTTATATCGCCAAGGTTGTAAGTGATCAACATGTATAACATACTTTGTTATATCACCAAGGTTGTAAGTGATCAACATGTATAATATACCTTGTTATATCATCAAGGTTGTAAGTGATCAACAAGTATAACATACCTTGTTATATCGCAAAGGTTGTAAGTGATCAACTGTATGACATATCTTGTTATATCGCCAAGGTTGTAAGTGATCAACTGTATAACATACCTTGTTATATCATCAAGGTTGTAAGTGATCAACATGTATAACATACCTTGTTATATCACCAAGGTTGTAAGTGATCAACTGTATAACATATCTTGTTATATTCTCAAGTTTTTAAGTGAGCAGTGGGTATATCGTATTATAAAGTGAAGGTTTTGGTGATCAACAAATATGTCTTCTCTATGTATTGTCAGGTTTTAGTGACCAATAAGATATATTAAACCGTTTGATCAGTAAAATTATGACTACTTACATCACCTATATTATACCTGTTATATATATATACATAGATGTATAATACTTGTTGATCAATAAGAAATTGATGATATAACAAAATATAATTGTTGATCAATAAGAAATTGGCGATCTAACAAGATATGTTAGTGTAACATATTTATCACTAATCAAAAGGTATAGTATATCTTGTTATATGGTGAAGTTTTAGAGATCAGCAAATACACTATATCCTTTTATTTCGCGAACCTCTATATCTCACCCCTTTTCCTTAATTCTTTTGATGTTTCTTTTGTTAGTATCTGAACCATTTACTACGATTGTCCCATAGCTTTAGTAAGGGGAACTTTTGAATTATTTAAATGTACAAAGTAGAGCACAGGTTGACGTTCAAATCCCATAATATATTGCTTCTTCGTAGATAAACGATCTTAGATTGACTAGAACTTAAATATATTAAATAACTCTATAGAGTTGAAATGTATATACATATTTAAAATAATAGTTAAATCAAACAATGTTTCGAAAAAAAAAGTTATTACTAACAACTTCAATTCTGGTTAAGTCAATTTATCTATATCAGCATTCTCTACACGAAAAAGGTGTATCTTTATAACTATGTCTTCGATCATAGTATCTTCAAGAAAGTAACTTTTTTAGTGTGTTTAGTGTTGCGAAACAAATCTAGGCTAATCAAAGAAAATCAGAAAAACACCCATTAATAAAGACTAGAATCAAATGTATATCTGTCAGATCAATTACTAACATAAACTGTTACGACTTAGGCTCATATAATCCATACAACTGATATAAATTAAGCTTATATAAAGACGTGAAACTGGTATATGGTCTGACATAGTTTGGGACTCTTGTCATTCCCCCCCCCCCCGAATGTCTTTATGCCTTTGTCAAAGATCAAAAGATTGTTTTAGAAATAACGAAAATTTTAGTTTTTCTTGTTTAACCTGGAAAGTTTAATAATTTAGGTTTACAATAAACAAAGAGTCACGAACACGAGTTCATAGTAATGTTGATTCAATGTCTAAGATTTATAAATTCGTATTTTTAAACACCAGTATACAGTGTGGTTATACATATCTCCAACTTGTCTTGCACCACACATAGAAAACTAGGGCAGTTTTTCCACCGTCATCTTTTAATGTGGAAGAAGGGGATGTTTTGAACCAAGGCTGTTTGAGGAAACCAGAAAGTATTCTACGTGACTGAAATGAGATATGGTTCTTTCGTTACTTTAAGATAGGACAACTCCCATTGGGTGGTAACCAGTGACGTCAGTAAAATCACATAGTTCGTGTTAGTATAAAAGTTGCTGAAAATCAAGTAACTAACAACTTCGTCGAACTGCCCTTTTAATACATACATTCGTCCCCTTTCTCGAGCTCTGTTTAACAGTCAGAATGATTCAGGTAAGTATATATATATATTACTTATATTTAAGTCTAAGTACGATTCGTGTAACACGTAGAAGAAGAATAACTATACTGCAAATCCAATATTAAGATGTATTTCGCTGTCATTTCATTCAAATATAACAATTTTCAATCTGTTCTTATAAATCGATAATATTTCACCAAAATATACTATTCTGTAAAGAAAAGTTATATTAAAAGGACTTTTTTAAAGTGCTTTTTGTGGTGAATACAAACGCAATACTTTTTTATTTGTGTTTACAATTGTTGCTTTATTTACATTCGTAGGTTCTTGTGGTTTTGGGATTCCTTGCTGCAGCAGAAGGTGGATTCCTTGGCGCAGGAGTAGGAGGTACAGGTAGATTTATTACTGGAGGAGGATTAGGGAGATTTGTTGGGGGAGGTGGCAGAGGTATAGGAGGATTGTCTGGTGCAGGATTAGTAGCTACAGGCGGATATTTCCATGGAGGGCTTGCTGGTGGATTTGCTGGTGGCGTAGGAGGAGGAGGCTTAGCAGTAAGTTTTGTTAACCTGGTTCCTGTTTATTCTTTAACTACTGATCTGTACCCACTTTTTCTAAGACATTTTTATAATATATTATGAATTCTTTGTATTTATCCTATCTTATATCTACCAGATCTTATCCTGCTTCCAACTCATGCTACAATTCGTACAGGTGATTCTATTTGTAGTGCTCGAATTAAAAAAATCGCCCATTGAAACCTTTTATTTACCATACCCAACTTGTGAGATCTATTCATAGTTTATCTTTTAGCCACTAGATACTTCTTTGTTCTTAAGAACAAAGCTACACAATGGGATATCTGTGTTCTGCTCACCGCGAGTATCGAAACCCGATTTTTAATGTCATTAGCCCTCAGAGTTGCCGCTGAATCATCGGGGGGGGGGACTTCAACAAGTGAGTAAACTAAGATAAAGTTATTTACTAATGGCAACGCTATTGAAAAGCCACAATAAGAGAACGTTTAATTATTTTCCGTTTTTGGCCAAGTAAAATAATCTAAAGATATATTTATTTGTGTTATTGATAATTTGGACATTATCTAATCATTTCTGTTAAAAATGTTTTCCTTAAATGGATGAACTTCTCTGGTAAGTAGAGAGTCTGTCATTTCTGAAGTACTGATATGTTCGTTTTTATTTCAAAATGGTGGATATACTCTTTTTTTTGTACACCCCTGTTAGACTAGATTTGATTTTATAAAATGCCTTTGGATATTTTTTATCTATTCATACAGGTAAAATTCAGACACTCTCTCATGCTTACTTGATAATTTTTTTTATAACTGCCTTTAAGTCATTTTCTAACACATTCTCATTTTTGAGCACTAGCGTCTTGTTTGTTTTTTTCTTTTTCGACCTTACTCCTATCGATTTAGATGTCGGTCAGTAATTTTGTAAATCAATAACTTTTACACCCAGGTGGCTAGCCCAATCAGCAATCATATAGGATGAGCATGTTCGGTCTCGGGGGATTCGAACTCTTGACTCTCAGCTTGCTAGTCGAACGACTTAATAACTAGGGTATACCAGGCATGCTAATTAATATTAAATAAGACCTGAAATACAATAGTGACCTTAGACTTGAAAAGTTTGCGATAAAATTGCAATAATCTGTGTATCAAAAAACAAATAAACATAAAAGAACAAAAAGAAACTCAGATGTTTAATGTGCCGTCTGAAAATAAACACAACTCTTTTCGTAGTTAGGGTAGTAAAATTATAATACTGTTAGTACCCCTCGTATATAGCAATGTTACAGGAACAAAAACTTGTTATTTTGTTTTAAATTTCAGTGTTGAAGAAAACGTTTATCACGTGGTTTGAAGTGTTAATTTAAATTTAGAAAAGGATGAAATTCATTAAGTTTATTTGTGGTTTATCATTGTTATTTTAATAAAACGTAGAACTTTTATATGGAAAAACTGCTATATACACAAAATACAAAACGCTGCTAAATATTACAGATAGGATAGCTTAGTGAACAAAATAATACCAAAGTACAAATAGGACAATTTAGTGAAGAAAAAATATCAAAGTGTACAGATAGGACAGCTTAGTAAAGAAAAAATACCAAAGTACATATAGGACAGCTTAGTAAAGAAAAAATACCAAAGTACATATAGGACAGCTTAGTAAAGAAAAAATACCAAAGTACATATAGGACAGCTTAGTAAAGAAAAAATACCAACGCTTTACTTTCATTTGAAAAATGTTAAATTTTCAAGTGTTTCTTGAACACAATATGTCGTTATTTAGATAATTAAAATTCTTGAAAATATAACAGGTCAGTCTTGATATGGGCATGAAAATATCTAGAAGCGAATATTTCAAAGTGATTTTATTTTTCTTAACAGCGGGGCTACTATGGTCAACAACCAGTGTATCCTTCAGTTCCTACACCTTATGCTTTTAATTACGTTGCTCCCGCTATTGGTGGTTTGAGTGCACGCCAGGAAACTGGAGATGGTTCAGGAAGGGTTAGTGGATCTTATCAACTCTCTGACGCTGATGGACGCCAGAGAAATGTTAAATATACTGCAGGTCCGGAAGGATTCAGAGCTCACGTAATTACCAACGAGCCTGGAACCAAGAGTGAGAACCCTGCTGACGTCACTGTCGAATCTTCTGCTCCCGTTGCACCTTATTATCCATCCAGAGGACATTACGGACACGGAGGGTATGCTGGTGGTGGTATTCATAAATACATTGTTGCTCCATCTAGCGGCCCTTGGCAATAACTTGACACAATTTTGTGGTATCTTTAATAAATTGACAAAAATATTTTGCACATTTTTGGCTTTCTCAGAATACGAAACATGTAATATGTGTCTTTAATGTTTTTCAGCAACCTTCTTGTAATTTTTGAATAATGTATTAATAGCTTGCTGCTCTAAGTGCTTTTCTTTTTTACTAGTATACATATATATTTATTCATAAGTTTAGGTTAACATCTTCTGGTACTGCAAGCTGACTCTTAGCATTGATTGTAATGTATTGTAAATTTTGTGTATTATTATCACTGAATGCCCACAAGACAAAAATACAATATACGAATAAAGATGTTTTCTAGATATTTATGTATGAGTTAGAAAATCATTTAATAAAAATCCTTCTGAGATACATGTGGTATAATTCTTCCACTGTATAGATGTTTAAAAATACTACTAAGGAGCTCGACTTGCAATTTGAGGGTCGCATCTCCAGCACCGTAATTGTTCTCCCTCTACGGCTGCTGTCATGACCAGCAGCTATCCGACTGTAAAAACACTTGGCTACTTCTGAATTCCTGAGAGGTCGACCCCAAATCTAGAGATTACGGTTGAATGAAGAAGAGGGTATACAAAAGTTTTTGAAATTAAAGGTGAATATTGTACAATCTGGTTTTCGTTATTACACGTAAAAGTGAAATAACTTTATATACACAATGACTAAAAAAGGACAACAGAAAGATCTTAATAAATTAAAATTTGTGCTAAAAATGGTGGCACAGAATGAACCACGAAAATGTATTAATGCTCATAAAAAGGCATGAGTGAATAATGGCTACGATAGAATACAATTAAAATAATTATATGTTATTTCTTCATATTTCTGTACCAATGAACAGATTAAAGCTATAAAGATTTCTGTAAATTCGCATTATACTAATAAGAAAACATTTTTAAAATGACACATTAATTGGATCATTTTTATTAAGGAAGGTCTGGAGATTGTTGATGTTACAAATACGAACATTTCTATTAGCCTAGGTTGTCACGTTTCACTTAAAAATTATTTCAAAACAAAATAGTCCTCCTGAAGATGTACTGTTCCGATCTTTTTTGTGACTTAGAACAAATATCTGAAAATTTATTGAACAATTACATTTCTATAAGTGGAAAATTTGAACATATCAACTTTCTCCAAAATTTCATCGTGGCTATTTATTTCCTGGTGGTTTTTTATTTAAATAAATCTCGATTTCTTTTTATCCAGAGGTGTTTGCTTGATTAAAATCTCACATGCAATTTTTAAGTCACAAGGCTTCGAATCATTGTTTAATACCTATATACCTTCGTTTAAAAAAAATTAGATGTGGACAAAATATTTTATATTTCTTAAAAATTCGGATCTATATTGAAATATATTCCATTACCTGCCCAATTTACAGCAGATGAGGTAAATGCACAAGACGTGGTAAACATTATGCTTTGCTTGAATTTTCTAACATTAATCGAATTTTTGAAACATTATAATCAAAGAATCCCAGAATCTCTTGGTCTTAGCTCCTAGGTAAAGCAGGTCAACCATATTAGCCTTTACTGGAAGTAAATATGATACTCTTGGTCTTATCTCCCAGGTGTATATTAAAATTAAATACTTGACCTTAGGAAATTTATGAAAAAAAAGCAAACAACGTATAGGTAACTATCATGGAATATATATATATATATAGAGAGAGAGATCTTAACTTAGAATTTAGGCCAAGATAAAAATATGTAAAATTCCATAATAGCTAATAGAAACGGACGTGTACTTTTCCTGTTTAAATGTATATGTTGTTAAACTGCCTGATTGTAGTATATATTACAGTAATACACTTCAGACATCACGCATTCACGATGTGAGAACATGATAATTTCTTTGTGAGTTAAATGGGTGGGGTTGTTTTGAATTTCGCACAAAGCTACACGAAGGCTATCTGCACAAGCTGTCCCTAATTTAGCAGTTAAAGACTAGAGGAAAGACAGCTAGTCCTCGCCACACACCGCCAACTCTTGAGCTACTCTTTTAACAAGAATAGTGGGGTTGACTGAAAGGGCGAGCATGTTTGGTGGGATTAGGATTCGAACCCACGACCCGCAGGTAGCGAGTCGAGTGCCCTAACCACCTGGCCATGCCGGGCCGATTAGGGTAGAGTCAATAGTGCAATAACGCAAAATTAAGCCTTTTAATATATATTAACCAACGAAAATAATACTTAATTATTTCAACACACATATAGCATTTTAATGTACATCCGTGTATTACATTTCGTCACTTAACTCACTTTTTACTCATTTTAAAAAAGAGGGGGGAGGGTGCGCAAGACACCATATTTATTAAAGGGGTAACAAAATTGTAAGATATTACAAAACTACTGATTACTAAGCCTAACAATAAATACGTTCCGCCCTTGATATTGAAAAAAATACATTAAAATAAGGATTTGTTCTCCTAATGACTGTGTAATAAACTATAATAACATGAGATAAAAAAACAAAAAACAAGAAACACATTTTTATTTCTTCTGTGATAATTAAACTATGTATTTAGTACCATTACATTTATAATTAATTTTTGAGCTTTTGATTTGAAATTCATAAAATGTTTGATTCAGCGCAAACTCCGGCCATGTAATTCGAATACAATAACCAGGTTAATGGTGAGAAAGGGTTGTAAAAAGGAACTGCATATGAGATAAACAGGACGAAACATTATAGAAATGCAAATGTAATATATATAAAATTTTCTTTCAACTGAGAGGCCCGGCATGGCCAGGTGGTTAGGGACTCGACTCGCAATCTGTGAGTTGCGGGTTCGAATCTCCGTCCCACCAAACATGCTTGCCCTTTCAGCCGTAGGGGCGTTATAATGTGATGGTCAATCCCACTATTCGTTGGTCAAAAAGTAGCCCAAAAGTTGGCGGTGGATAGTGATGACTAGATACCTTTCCTCTAGTCTTACACTACTAAATTAGGGACGGCTAGAGCAGATAGACCTCGTGTCGCTTTATGCGAAATAAAAAAACAAACAAACATCCACCAATCATGTTCCAGGTTAGCTAGAAATTCTCGTCTTTTAGTTGGGTTACATTCCTAGTTCCACTGACTCGTAATGATTTATTCCTCCTCATGTCCCGTTTCATCTTTCTCTCACTCCAATTGATAGATGGTCAGATTCGATTCTTTCAGCAATATACATTTCCATAATATAATTTTGTGTGTCATTCTTCGCGATGACATAGTTAATGACCAAACATCTTCCAACATAGGTCATCTTTCCTTCATAGTCGTTCTTGACTCATCTATATAAAATTACACATCCTTCATCATTGCACCAATTCATTAGTTTTTTCCTCTCAGTGTTGGAAATATTATATTCAGAACTCCTTATTAGGGTCCATCACTCTTCAAAATCTCCGATCTCCAAATCTATTTGTCTGTTACCAGTTCTTGCGTTGAAGTTTCCAATTAAAATAATATGGTCATCATCCATATAATTGTTATCCAAGTCCTTAGAAAGTTGGTCTAAGGTTTCTTCCATCCCAAGATTGTTATGCACACCAATTACTCTTCATCTATCGCGCTCGTGGTAATTTCTTACTATAAGTTCCAACTTCCATGACTTGCAGGAGATTAATGGAGACAATTTCTTGGCAATTCCAATCAGTTGTCCACCTTTTGCTCTCCCTCAAGTTTTGTCTTTAACAGTTTCCCTAAAATACCATTCATATCCATCATTTAGTTGTTTCGTCCATGTTGATTCCTGTTTCTTCTCAAACTCACGTTTCAATTAAAACAATAATGTCAAAACTATAAATATAGTCCAAAAAATTATCACGCCACATTTAAAAAATAGAATTTCTCGTTTTATCCCAGGTTAAACTAAACAAGTGGTATTAACACACAATTTTTATAAATAATTATTATGCAGTTTCTGTCCATAATATAAAACATAGTTAAACTTAACTTTGTTTTGATCAGATCCTAAAAATGAAAATTTTGATTCTACCGCTACGCTTTTATTTAAGTTTTATTTTTGCTTTGACATAACTTACCACTATTTGTTAGTTTTAGAACTTTTTTGCATAGTTACCAAATAGTTATCTGCACATAGCCGTCCCTAATGTTGAGCTGATAGACTAGGGGGAAGGCATCTAGTCAACAATACCAATTCTATGACTACTTTTGTGTGATTGAGCATTATGATTTGATTGTCATCTTTTAACGCTTCTATGGCTCCAAGTGCGTAGTGTGGTTTTTGTGGCAACAGAACGTGAATCATGAATCTTTGGGTCCAAATTCCCAACACATTAACCACTAAATTACGCCCGCCATACCTTAATTTACCACAATGGTTTCATTAAACATTATAGTTTCATACGTCGATATATGTTATTTTATTTCGCACAATCTGGCACACGGATATTTTACTAAAAAAACATTCTAAGTATACTTCTACGTTTTATAAATGCACAAAGGATGTGGTGTAAAAATATGGTAAGCAGTTAGTGGAATTTAATATCCTGAAATTGCAATAACATAACCATTATCGTAATTAACTGTCTTAAACAATTGAAGAAGAATCCAATTACAATTTCTAAAATGCGTTTTCTCTAGACGTTACATGTCACCACTAAAAAAGGCCTAGTCTTTTTTTTTCTAGTTACCTTTGTCCACAGTTACTGACGAGGAGTAATTAATCGAAACCGGTCTAACTATGTGACAAGTGGTGAACTCAAAGGATTGGGCTTCAGTTGGTTTACAATTATTGTGATGAGAGAGAAAATTACACTGATTAACTGTTGTAACTGATACCACACTAACATACTAAGTTATATGGTTGATATCATTTTAACATCTGCTATGCGCTTTGGGTGATACAATATTAATATGTTATAAATTTTGTGAGTGATGTCACGTTTGAGTGGTAGATGTTGTGGTTTATACCACGCAGACAATCGCTAACTTATGTGATTGGTATCATTTTAAAACCTACTACGTGCTTCGGGTTGTACAAAGTTCATATGTTATACGTTTTGTGAGTGATGTCACGTTTGAGTGGTAGATGTTGTGATTTATACCACGCAAATAATCGCTAAATTATGTGGTTGATATTCGCTTTTGCT